ATCGAACTAGAAAACTAATTGGTTCGGTTTGGTTCGAGTTAGTTTTGGTTTTCACATAAGAAAACCGAAACTGACCCGATATATCGGTTTATGATTTTGCTCAACCCGAAACCGACCGGTGCTGATGAAAACCCGGCCGACTCGGATTGGGTCGGTTCGGGTTAGTCAGGTTGGGCCTTCTTATGAACAGCCCTAATCTACACAAAGAGCCATAGTCCACATGACTTATATCATAGGTTTCCACATGTCTTTATTTGGACAAATGCTTTTTGCACCAAATTTTAGCAATTTCTGTCAGCGTTGATTGAGGAAAAAGTACTTATCCAATCTTATAGAAGTATTGGCCCCGCTTCTATACGTGAAATATTAGGTTTTTTTATAAGTTTTGATGATATAACTAAGGATAGGCTCGGCTAAGACTGAACCTGTAAAATTAAAAAAAAAAAAAAAAAAAACTAAAAAAATTGTAAGGTTCAAGTGTTGAGGTGTCAGGAGTGTCGATATTTTGAAGCTTGTTTTTGTCTAAAAATTCTAAAACTTATTCAAGGATGCTTTAGCAGCATGCAAGTAAGGTGGTGTTTGATAAATCTGAAAAGTTAAAAAGATATTAAAAGTGTCTGAAATCTGAAAAGAGGCATAAATGCTTTTCTACTTTTTAGAGGCTCTGAATCCATAAGTTTGTTTGTGTTGGATCAACCCTTTACCATCTAAAATTTACTATTTTACCCCTAGAATATACTATTTGTAAATGTTAAAAATAATTTTCAACCTCAAAATAACATTGAAATAATACAAATAAATAATAAATAATTAATGACTATAAAAATATTAAAATAATTAATAATTTACACAAATAAAAATAAAATAAATTTTAAAAATAAATGAAATAATTAAATATTACTATTTAATAAAAATAATTATTAAATATTAATAATTAATAAATTAATAAAAAATAAAAATAATTAATAATTAATAAAAATATTAAAATTTATAATTAATAATATTATTATTATTTCTACTCATCGGGCAGTGGCGAGAAGATAAGAGAGAGAGAGAGAGAGAAAGAGAGAGCGAGAAGAGTGAGAGTGAAAGTGAGAGAACGAGAGAGAGAGACAAGGAATTGCCGCCACTACAACTTGCAGCGACAGTGGCGGGAAGATAAGGGAGAGAGAGAGAGAGAGAGAGAGAGAGAGGAAGGAATTGTCACTGTTGCAACTTGCAGCAACGGTGGTGGGAAGACATGGGAGAGAGAGAGAGAGAGAAGGAACCGCGACAGGGGAGAGAGAAAAGTGAGAGTGAGAGAGAAGGAACCACCTTACAACGGCGGTGGCGGGAATACGAGAGAGAGAGAGAGAGAGAGAGTGCAGCGGCGGTTGTGGCGGTGGAGCTTCGTAGGTCGTAGTGAGGGTTCGGTTCGAGTTACATGAAGGACAAAAACATGTAATATTAAAATTTCTTTGAGGGCATTTATGTCTTTTACACACATCTCAATCACGTCTGAACGCATAACTGTCAGGCTACTAACTTAAAATTTAAGATATGAAAAAAGATTTCTGAATGATTTTGAAACGCAACACCAAACGAGCTTGGTGTCTAAAAAGCAAGTTTTTCATACACCAGACCTCTAAAAAGTGTTATCAAACGAGGCCTAAGCTGGGTTTTTTTATCTGATTATTAAACATTAGAATGCAAATGTGATTGGTAGATTAGAAATTCCTATCAAACTCCGATCAGACTCAGATTTAACCCAAGCTAGTTTTATAACTCTTGAAAGTAAAGAAGAAACTTAAAAAAATATAAAATATAAAAAATGCTAATTACTATTTAACTTATACCTAATAAATTTATATAAATATTGAACATTGAGTTTATTATTAGAAATAATATGTAATTATATAACGTAAAATTCAATAGGTCTTGGATCTTCATCAGATTGGATTTCCGCCTTTCCGAGTCCATTGAAAGGTCTACATGCATGGTTTTATTTTGTTGATATGAGTCATATGGCAGTTGTTTTGTGGCCATTTTATAGTCCACTTTACCTCAGGATACATTTATTAATTCCCCATGTTTTATGTATTTATCCCCACCCCTATAAACAACTAGGGGTGGCCACGAGCTAAGCTCTTCATGAGCTACTTGAGCTCGGCTCGGCTCGGTTTCAACCGAGCTTCGAGCTGAGTTGGAGTCCAATTTATAGGATCGATTAATAAA